TGGGCGGCTACGGAGCCGTGAGCTGTCTCTGTGTGTCATGATCCGCGCTCTACACGCGGTAACCCTCCGGGAAGTTCGGGTACGCCTCCTCGAGTCCGTGTCTCTCCAAGCCTCGAGAGACTCGTCGTTGCCCGCACCTATGAGGCCCGCGTCCCTCGCGGGACAGGTGGTTCCCGCGGCGGCCGGCCCAGGTTTCAGCATTCATTCCAGGTTCTTTGTGTCTGCGGGGACAGAGGCTCCTAGCGCGCCACCCCGTCCTTCCAATTCGAAGCGTTTCCTGAAATTGCCTTTGTCCTGGGGACGACACCCCTGAGTGCGGCCGAGTGGGTGCTGGCCCCCTTCCGCGGAGCGCGGTTGACCGGCTGTGGGAACTGGCTGAGCAGCGTGTCCCCGGGTTGGATGGAGGCGAGGGGAGCCCCTCCCGCCGCGTTCAGGGGTTCGGGTCTTGTGTTTGCCCCGCGAACTGCATTCAGTGTCCGCATATACGCGGGGAAGCGCTACCACCCGTGTGGTTTAGGGGGAAAGGTCTGAATTTAGGGGGAAAGGTCTGAAGCGTCAGAGTAAGGCCTGCCGAGTGTGACGGGTATGGCCGGGGTACCCGCCCTGACCTTGACCTCTGCAGCGCCCGCGGCCGCCCCTCACACCCAGGGACGCCTGGTGCGGGCCGCTCTTGGCCTTTCTTGATAATTCATCACGAACCCGTGTCCTGCGGGTGGCGTGGTCTGCGCCATTCCTGGTGCGTGTTCTGAGGTCTCCACCCTCGTACAGTCTTCGCAGCCCCGTGCCCACTGGCCTCCTGGCTCTCGCACTGCCCTGTGCTGTTGTGTCGGGTTTCACGCGAGGCCACGCCGACCTGCTCATCTGCTCGGGCTCCGTGCTGTGCCCGGCTGCTGGCCGGGTCCCCTCGTGGGTGAAGCTTTGGCACCCGGAGCATTGGGCTTGGGGGGTGATGCGTGGACGCAGGCACCCTTTCGAGGCCCCGGGCGGTCTCCCCACCTTCCCTCCAGCTGTAGCCAATGCCTGTGTTTGCCCTGGGCGGGCACCACGGGCCTGTCAGCTGCCGGGGAGTAACCGAGCGCCTCTCCCCGTGTGCCTGTCGGGTTCGCCTGGTTTTATTTCCCGTACCGATCGCTCTTGAGTACCTGTTGACTCACTGAGAAGTAATGCAAAGCTGATGTTAAAATAGGCTCTGCAGTGTGGACACGACACAGGCGTTATTTATAGAAGGCCAGGCGGGAGCTGAAGGAGCCGTGGGATGGAGGCTGAATCCCAATGCCCATCACACTGGTGTCAGGAGGTCTGGCCTCCACTCATGTCTGCTTTTCTGTCTGTACCTACTTCTGGAGGTGAGCAGATGGACATTTTTCTCATTGAAAATCTCTCTTTAAATTTACAAATGTGGGCGATCCCCATTCAGATGACCAGGGGCGACTCACCTCGGCCAACTGAAGGGGTTCCGTCTGGGTCTTTGGCGTGGGGGTCACGCCCAGGGGGAGGTTCGCTGCTCCCCAATGGGCCCAGTTCTTGAGGAGACGGGGTGGGGGGACTCTGGCAGCCAGGAGAGAGGCCCCCACACGCTTCTCACCCAGGGCCCTCCTCGTCTCCTTTCCTGGACGCCTCCATGGCCTCTCGGGCTTGGTTTCCAGTGAGTCAGCGTGGTTCTCGCCGAGAGCTTCAGCGTGCAGCAGCTCAGTGAGACAGAACAGTCTTTCTGGTGGCAG